GGCTCCGTCTCAAAAAAAAAAAAAAAAAAAAAAAAGATTTTATTTCCAAGCTAAAACCTAAAGCAAGAAAAAAGGAGGTGGGGGAGGGGAAAAGAGGGTGAGGAAAAGAAAAAAATTGCATGGATGAAAAATCTGGAAGATTACACCTTAGGCTGTTAACAGGGAATAGGGCTCGGTGATGCCTTCCCTTTCTACCCTATATCACTTATATAATTTTATTTATTTATTTATTTATTTTTTAAGACAGTCTTACTAAGTTGCCCTCGGTAGAGTACCATGGCATCGCAGCTCACAGCGACCTCAAACTCTTGAGCTTAAGCAATTCTCTTGCCTCAGCCTCCCAAGTAGCTGGGACTACAGGCACCCGCTATAACACCCTGCTATTTTTTTTGTTGCAGTTGTCATTGTTGTTTAGCTGACCGGGGCTGGGTTCGAACCCATCAGCCTTGGTGCATGTGGCCAGGGCTGGAACCACCGAGCTATGGGCGCTGAGCCCATTTATACAATTTTAGTTGTTTTATGACCAAAAATCTAAAAATATATAGAAATGAAACTGATTTTTTAAAACATTTAAAACATATTTTGGTTAAAGAAAGAATTCCAAGTTTTAAAAAAAAAAGACAGTACTGGGTTGGATGATTCTGGGACTCTCTTTACTCTGAGTTCACAGATGGATCCATGAGTACTGACAGGCAGGGGGAGCATGGTTGGGGTGTGAGGGTGCCACAGGTGGTCTGGCGGAAGCCCTGAGCATCCGCAGGAACAGCTGGATACTGGAAACAGCTGGATAGGAACCCAGAGAGCTGGCTGGTACTCATTAGGTCTGTGGCTGATTGGGAGATACCCCACCGCCAAGGAAGGTGGGCACAGGGCCCTCTCCACAGAGGTAGGGCAACATGAGCTTTGCAGGGGTAACTGGTAGAGGGGTGGAGGCACAGATGAGGAAGCCTCAAATACCAAATGAGGAAGTGGGTTTGGTCTTGGCCAGTGAATCTCGGAGAGCCCAAGGGATGTTTTAGAGCAAAGAGGGCCATGATGAGACAGGCTTCAGGAAGCTAACTCTGGCAACAAGTGGACCAGTCTCCTCTGGGTCCCGCCTTAGGAAGTGAGAATTTGAGGACTTGTGGTCAAGACCCACCAAAGTCCCACCTCCTGCGGCTAAACTGAACTTCCCCAGAGCCCACCACTGCAAGACCTCCTCTTGATGTCCACTTATGGATCTCCCTTCCATGCCCACCAGTAAACAGAGGGAGGGGCCCCAGCATTCTGGGAGAAATTGTACTTAGAAATCTCCGACTAGGCCCAGATTCCCGGCTGTGGCCTGGGGTTGGAAGTGTGCCATACTTCCAGATCCCCATACACCACACTGGGCGTTAAGGTCCCTAGGTCATGACTTTGCAAGGAGTCTCTGTCCCTCCAGTACCCCTCCCCAGCCACCATTACTGTGTCTGATCAGTTTCTGGGCCCCACCCATCCTGCTTCAGTCCCACTCTACTTCTCAAAGCAAGAAGGATCAAGGCTTTGCCCACTTTGGGCTGACACTCAAGTAGTCTCATCTCTTACTACTGTCGACACCCTACTGTGACCTTACCATCCACTGAGCAAGGCTGTGGGTCCCACCAGGCTTTTATTTGGGCCCTTCTTCCCACCTGACATTCCCTCCCTCATCAATTGCGAGTAACAAAACATAGTACATGACACGTGGCTGTTCGCTGACTACACAAATTGAGAGACAAATTCAAGGTGCCATTCCTGCCTCCCAGTGGTTGTGGCCCACCATTCAGCTGGCCCAGTGCCCAGGGAAAGCTCTCTTTCCTGTCCCCAGCAGCACAGAGACCTTGGGAGATCCCAGCAAGCCGCCTGCCCCTGTCTCACACAGTCACCCTTTGTTAGGCCTCACTCCCAATGGGCATCTTATCTGCCCAAACAGGTTGTAATCTCCCAAGTCACAGACCCCTGCCTCCTGCCAACCTGGAGTAAACAGCTCTTCTGTTATAGGCTGGCAGCAAGACAGAGTTCCCCAGCTCACAGTACTCCAGTCAGGGTCCCAGCCCTGCCAGATTCCCCCCTGTTGGGCTTAGTAGGAAATTTTGGCTTCCTGCCCATCACGCCCCCAGGCCTTTGAGCTGAGCTAAGCCAACCTCTGACTTTGTGGCCTGGATTTTCTTCTCCCAGACCCCTCTACATTCTCTGCTGGATCTCTCCCCTCCAACTTCCTCAGGAATTCTTCAAATAATCATGGGGGTCCTCGGGGAGGGGAGGACCCTGGAACTGGGATTCTTGGATGCAATGTCCCTTTGGGGCCAAATTTTGGCCCATGAAGGAACTGGGGCTCTCAGAGGTGAAGTGACTCTCCCAAGGCCACACAGATACAGTGAGGCAGGGACAGGAAAAACCAGGTGGGGTTGGCTCTCACCCACCCCCCACCCCTGAAGCCTCAGGTCTCCACCCAAGCTGTGAAATGCGTGGGGGAACCAGAGAGCTGAGCTTCCACCCAGGACACACAGGACATGAAGCCAGAGCTCAGGTATGTTTATTCCTATACAAATCATTACAAAATCAAGTCTGGGGCAGTCACCACTCCCCCATTACCCCAATGTGCAACAGCTCACTGCTGGCCTACCCTGGCAGATCCCTCTTACCCCACAGTCTCCTTCTGGAAGCCCTTCCCTGCCAGGCTCCCAAAGGGCAGGGGCCAAACACATCCAACTGAGGCCCAGCTTTAATAAAGTGCCTGATGTGGAGCCAGGGGACATAGCTCCCAGCTCCCTACAGCCATCCCAGGCCAGCTTGGAGGGGGACCCTCAGCCCTCAGCAGCTCCAGACAGGGACTAACGAAAACCCAGTGTGGCTTGGATCCCCCTTTCTTAGTCCTAAAGTCTCCTTCGACAAGTGGCAATATCACTCTGGGAGGGCAGAGAAGGAGGCCTGGCCCTTTAAGAGCCAAGCTGAGGACAGCTGGGCTGAGGGGCTAAGAAAACAGCAGAAGGCTTGTCTCATTTCAGTTAGAGATCCCCAACTCTGAGGCAGTTTACACAAAATCATCCTTAAGTTTTCCAGGAGGTGGAACCTCCCAGCAAGGGACAGTGCTTGGGAGACTCAATCTCAGAGACTCAGGCCCAAGGGCGGTTGGTGGGGCTGTGGGAAGGGATCTCAGACCACCTCAGAACCTGACACGGGAAGAAGGGTGCCCAGAGAGGGCAGGGGTTTGTCCAGGTCATTCAGGGCAGAGCCAAGACCCAGACGCTGGCCTCCTTTGGGGTTCTCTACGACCCCCACAATCTCTTCAATTCCACAAATTCTCTGGCTTGGCCTCCAGACAGCTTCCACCCACCACATGATCTCTTTCTGATTCTGGGAATTGAGGGGGCAACACCAAGTTCCCAGTTCCTTGGGACAGGACCCCACTGTCCCAACCCAGGAGGGAGTGATTAGGAGTCTATTCCTGGGGCTCTGAACCAACACCTCATGGGAAAGGACACGACCTTAGCCTCAGACTGACTCAGAAATACCCCTGTACCCTGATTGACTAAGCTCAGACCCTGACAGGACAAGAAAGACACCCCTGATTAACCATATAGACTCCCAAATCCCTGATTGGCCAAGGGATACCCCTAAGCCCTGATTGGCTGGAGGATACATCCTTGTCAAGGCCTTGATTGACTAAGAGACACTCCAGCTAGCCTTGATTGGCCAGAAGATGGCCCATAGCTGAATCACTGGGAGGAGAGCCACTTCTCCTATACCCCTCCTGAGGTCCCACAGGCAGGGTAGCCTAGGTCCAGGAGGGGTGGGAGAAGGTGATGCCATACAGCTGGGCCCAGGACGAGAAGACCCTCTTCTCAGTGATGAAGCGGTGGTGATTGCCCTTGCGGCTGTGCTCATTCTGGATGTAGGTGACACACTCGTCCGGCCCCTTGGGCTCATAGTAGTGGTAGGGCGTGCGCTGCAGGCGGGGCCGCTGGCTGGGGCAGAGCAGGTGGGGTAGTCATGGTAGGGTGGGCACTGGCAGGGTCCTTGACCTGTCCACCCCTCCCCTGCCCTGCTGTAGGACTTCAGCAGAGGAAATCCCTGGCCCTCCCCAGGCCTCACTTTCCCTCTATAAAATGAGTGTAGGGTGGACTTGGTTTATATCCATCAGACTTTTTTTTTTTTTTTTTTAATGCAGTGGCATCTTTTCCTTTTCCCAAGAAGGTAGAGTAGAGGTGGAAACTGTGGGCACAATAGCCTGGCCCCAACTCCTACTGATGGTAGGACTTTTGGCCACTCATAAAACATCCTCCTCAGTTTTTCCTCATTTCTGTAGTGGGGAGAGTAAAAGTTCCTATCCCTCAGGGTTGCTGTGAGGAGTCAGTGAGATAATAAACATAATCAACTTGGTAGGTGGTCAGCACTCAGTAAAGTATAGCTGTCACCTAGTGGGCTTTTCATAGCATTCTAATAATAATAATTACTATTAATGAACAAACTCTGGCTGAGCTTGGGGTGGAGCCCCCGAGGTAGCTCAAGGAAGCCTTGATCTCTGCAGAGCAGTTTGAACAAAACAGAGGCCCTTCAAGGCATTCCCAAGCAAGGTTTCCAGGTCCCCCAGCTCCATCCTGTAGCCAATGGCAAGGCATTGTCCTGGGAGGGCACTGGCTAGGCGGACTCACCTGCAGTAATTGGGAGGAACCATGCCGTAGACGTGCACGTGGTCACACAACTCCACCGCGATCACCATGGTAAACCAGCCTGTGCTCAACCATGAATGGGACTTTTCCCTGGGGACAGAGAGGGGCCATGATGAGGGGCACAAAGGCAGAGGGATGGAGTAGGCTGGGAGAGGTGGCCAACCCACATGGAGTTTCCTGTAATCCCTCCCACCCACCCAGCAGGCTCTACCCCCACTTCAGTTATCCCCAGTCCAATCCTGCTTTGGAAGCATGGCCTATGGAAGAGGATTATCCAGGTAGAGGTGAGACATGAGAGGGTTTTCCTTTGAGGGGAAAGTGGGAATACATTTCCCAGGAGACTGGTCACAGTTGACCCTCTAGGAGTGACCATGACAATAGAGCATGCTAAAAGCAGCTGTGCCCATGCTAGAAGCAAGCTCCTAGGGAGAGAATAATCAGAAAAGGTCATGCTGGAGTGACTGCTGTTCACAGCAAAGCCTGAGAGAGTAGCCACGAACCTAAACCTGTGCTTCCATCACAGTGGCCACTAGCCACTGTGACATGTGGTTGAGATATGCTATAAGTATAAACTCACACTGGATTTCTTAGTATGAAAAAAATGTAGAATGTATCACTGATAATTTTTTGATATTGATTATATATTGAACTGAAAATATTTTGCAGTTTGTTTTGGGGCGGGGGCTGGGGCTGGATTTGAATCCACCACCTCCAGTATATGGGGCAAATGTCCTCTTCCTTTGAGCCACAGGTGCCACCCTGAACTGAAAATATTTTGCATAGACTCAGTGCCCATAGCACAGTGGTTATAGCACCAGCCACATACACCAAGGCAGGCAGACTCGAAACTGGCCCGGTTCAGCTAAACAACAATGACAACTGCAACAAAAAATAGCCAGGCAGGCTCAGTGCCTATGGCTCAAGTGGCTAAGGCGCCAGCCACGTACACCCAAGGTGGCAGGTTCAAATCCAGCCCAGGTCCGCCAAATGACAATGACGGCTGCAACCAAAAAATAGCCAGGTGTTGTGGTGGGCACCTGTGGTCCCAGCTACTTGGGAGGTGGAGGCAGGAGACTCACTTGAGCCCAGGAGTTGGAGGTTGCTGTGAGCTGTGATGCCATGGCACTCTACCCAGGGGGACAGCTTGAGGCTCCTGTCTCAAAAAAAAAAAAAAAATAGCCAGGCATTGTGGTGGGCGCCTATAGTCCCAGCTACTTGGGAGGCTGAGGCAGGAGAATCGCTTAAGCCCAAGAGTTTTAGTTTGCTGTGAGCTGTGACACACAGCACGCTACTGAGGGTGACACAGCGAGATTCTGTCTCAAAAAATTTTTAAAAATAAAAAAAATATTTTACATATGTTTGTTAGAAAGTGGTACTTGGAAAATATTTTTTAAAAACCCCTCCAGTCTCTCTCACCTTTTTTTTTTTGAGACAAAGTCTCAAGCTGTCTCCCTGGGTAGAGTGCCGTGGCATCACAACTCACAGCAACCTCAAACTCTTGGGTTTGAGCGATTCTCTTGCCTCAGCCTCCTAAGTAGCTGGGACTACAGGTGCCCACCACAGCATCCAGCTATTTTTTTGTTGCAGTTGTCATTGTTGTTTTAGCTGGCCAGGGCTGGGCTTAAACCCACCAGCCTTGGTGTATGTGGCCGGCACACTATCCACTGAGCTATAGTTGCCGCCCTCTTACCTCTTCTCATTCATGAGAGGGACCCACTTCCAACTCTCCTTGGAAGTGCTCTAAGCTTTCTCTTTGCTCTTAAATTTCTCTGTTATACTAAAAATTAAACAAATAAATAAACCTCTAGCAAGACTGACAAGGAAAAAGAGAAGACACAAATTACTAATACCAAGAATAAAAGAGGCCAGGCCTTTGGCTCATGCATGTAATCCCAGCATTCTGGGAGGCTGAGGTGGGAGGATCACTTGGCTTAAGAGTTTGAGACCAGCATGACAAAGAGCGAGACCCTGTCTCTACCAAAAGTAGAAAAATTAGCCAGGCATTGTGGTGGTGCCTATAGTCCCAGCTACTCAGGTGGCTGAGGCAGGACTGTTTGAACCCAGAAGTTTGAGGTTTCTGTGAGCTACACTGATGCCAGGAAACTCTAGTCTGGGAAACAGAGTGAGATGCTATCTCAAAAAAAAGAAAAGAAAAGAAAGGCTGGGCATGGTGGCTCACACTTGTAATCCTAGCACTCTGGGAGCCTGAGGAAGGTGGATTGCTTGAGCTCAGGAGTTCAAAACTAGCCTAAGCAAGAGTAAGACTCTGTCTCTAAAAGCAGCCACGTGTTGTGCCTGTAGTCCCAGCTATTATGGAGGCAAGGAGGCTGAGACAAGAGAATCACTTTAGCCTAAGAAGAGTGATGAGGCTCGGTGCCTATGGCTCAAGCGGCTAAGGCGCCAGTCACATACACCTAAGGTGGCGGGTT